GCACCCCGAGCCGGCCGGCCGGCCGGCGGCGCGGCCGCCATACATCGACTAGACGTAAGGTCACTCTTACCCAGGGTCGACTAGACGCGCGGCCGCCATACATCGCCATACATCGCGCACCAAAGGTCACTCTTACCCAGGGTCACTCTTGCGAGCAGTCGAATACAGCGGTGGCGACGAGGGCCAACATCGCAGGCCCAGAGACCGGCACCAGCACCAGTTTCGGCGGTGTGCCTCCATTGAGGGAAGAGGACCCCGATCTCGGTGATGGTGGTGATATTCTGGCTTCCAAGGTGGCCGAAATAGTACCGCTAATACTGAAGTCTAGGATCGTCTTCCCCCTGTGGAGGCAACCTCCTGTGTTGGTGTTGGTGCCCATTTCCAGGCCTCCAACAACAGGTACCGGTACCGCTACTCCCCAGACCTCTCCTGGGATGCGCCCTGACCAGAATCTGGAGGCGAATCCAGCATTGGCGACGAGGGCCTCCCACGAGGCCGAAACAGGGCAACACGGGCGAAGGGTAGCCTAGGGCAATATTCCGACCCCAACAACAGAATAAGAAAAAACGGCATACACATAATTTTTTGGCGCTCCACGCGGATTCCTCGGATCCGCGCTGGGCCCCTCCAGGCGGCGCCTCCGTCGCCGCCCCGCCCCGCGCGCCAGGGAGGGGCGTCTGGCCCAGATCCGAGCAATCCGCGCGGAGCGCCAAAAGTTGATGTTTATGCCGTTTTCTTCCTCTGTAGATGGAATCGGAGTATTCCTTTAGGCTACCCTTCGCTTGTGTTGCCTTGTTTCGGCCTCGTGGGAGGCCCTCGTCTCCATCTCTGGATTCGCCTCAACATTCTGGTCAGGGCGCATCCCAGGAGAGGTCTGGGGAGTAGCGGTATCGGTACACCTTAGTAGCGGTATCGGTACACTTAAGTTTTCGACCAGCGTCTCGATTATTCTTAACGTTTAAATGTAAATCTTAAGATTTTAACAGACATGTTGGGTTTTTATTCAAGTTCTGAGACTATGAATTTCTTAACCCATGATTTCTTAAGCATTTCGCAGGGTGTAACTGTTGGTTCCTCCAGACGGGGTCGATGCAACGCCGATGCGGCTCGATGTGGAGCGCGACTTTCTCGGCGCCGGCGTCGGCGATGCATCGCCGACGTCGCCGATGCATCGGCGATGCATCGGCGATGCATCGCCGATGCCGCGCGAGCCTCCGACCGCATCTACTCGGATCCCATCGAGGATGCCTCTAATGGATCGGCATGATTGTCGGGTGTTGCTCGGAGTGCCCCTGGCCCAAGGTGCCCCAAGGATTTCCAGGAAGGCCCTCACGGCCTCCAGAGCACCCCTCACGCGGCCCAAAGGGCCCCAGGGGCTCCAGAACGGAGCGAAAAGCTGGGGGCACCTTGGGCCAGGGGCATCTTCATCAAACCCCGAAGTTGATATGGGTACGGAAATAATGGGTACGAAGGCATTGGAGCCGCCTGGGGTCTGAGGTGGCCCAGCACTGCTTCCAGCCAGCAGGAAGGGCGGGCAGGTTCGAGGTTCTGGGTTCGGGAAGGTTTTTCGCCCTTTTTTGCCTCTGGGGGCAGTTTTCGGGTCCCAGGACCGTGAACATTGGTCCGGGGTGAAACTGCACCGGATTGACCCTGGGAGGGGTCTGGGGACCGATGTTGAGCGATTTGCCCTCACACCCCCGTCTTGACAGATTTTCTGAGGTCCCAGCCAGTCCGCCTCCAATGAAGGCCGACAACGCTTCCTGTTCTTGTTGAACATGTCTCGCCGTCGGTGTCGCCGTGGACTTGGTCCGTTTGAGACAGAAGGCCGCCTGCCCAACAGCGGTCGCTGTCGGTTATGGACAACGTTCGCTGTTGGGCATCGTACCCATTCTTTCCGTACCCATTTCGGGCGTCCAAGATGGATCGTCAGGCCCCTTCCGGTAATTAGGTTGGCGTCGTGTCGACCGGCGGCGACCCCTCCGCCAGCGTTCAACGTTGAACGCCGTCAGCGAACCAGAATCGGTCGATGTTGAACGATCTTATGTTTCGTAAACGGCCGATCCTTCGAGGTTGACCGATCCCCCCAGTGACAGAAGCCAACGCTGGGGTCGACACGACATACACCTGCCGTCATCGGGCTTCATCGCGCTTGATCTTTCTGATGAAGACCTCCAGGAGGCTGAGGAGGAGGAGGAGGAGGAGGAGGAGGAGGAGGAGGAGGTAGGAGGAGGAGGAGGAGGAGGAGAGGAGGGGAGGAGGAGGAGGAGGAGGGAGGAGGAGGAGGAGGAGGAGGAGGAGAGGAGGAGAGGAGGCGAGGAGGAGGAGGTGGAGGAGGAGGAGGAGGAGGAGGAGGAGGAGGAGGAGGAGGAGGAGGAGGAGGAGGAGGAGGAGGAGGAGGAGGAGGAGGAGGAGAGGAGGAGGAGGAGGAGGAGGAGGAGGAGGAGGAGGAGGAGGAGGAGGAGGAGGAGGAGGAGGAGGAGGAGGAGGAGGAGGAGGAGGAGGAGGAGGAGGAGGAGGAGGAGGAGGAGGAGGAGAGGAGGAGGAGGAGGAGAGAGGAGGAGGAGAGGAGGAGGAGGAGGGAGGAGGAGGAGGAGGAGGAGGAGGAGGAGGAGGAGGAGGAGGAGGAGGAGGAGGAGGAGGAGGAGGAGGGAGGGAGGGAGGAAGGAGGAGGAGGAGGAGGAGGAGGAGGGAGGAGGAGGAGGAGGAGGAGGAGGAGGGAGGAGGAGGAGGAGGAGGAGGAGGAGAGAGAGAGGAGGAGGAGGAGGAGGAGGAGGAGGAGGAGGAGGGAGGAGGAGGAGGAGGAGGAGGAGGAGGAGGGAGGAGGAGGAGGAGGCGAGGAGGAGGAGGAGGAGGAGGAGGAGGAGGAGGAGGAGGAGGAGGAGGAGGAGGAGGAGGAGGAGGAGGAGAAGGAGAAGGAGGGGTTGCTGCTGCGGGGCGGCGCGCTTGCCAGTGCCAGGCGTGGTGCTGCATCGATGGGCGCCGCCCGTCGAGGCGCCGCCCGTCGAGGCACGGTGCGGGCGCGACTGCGCGAGAGCTCCCCACGGGGGGGGGGGGCTGCGGCGGCGGAGCCCACGGGCCGAGGAGCCCGTGGCGTGCACGTGGCGAGCGCCGAGGTCCCGCCGTGTGAGCCCCTCGGGCGTGCGGCGCTGGCTCACCGTCCAGCTCCGGGAGAGCGTTGCTCGACTGGACGTAGGGGTTCCGAAGAAGCAAACGCCATACACGCACGCTTGTGGCGCTCTGCGCGGCTTTCTTGGATCCGCGCTGGGCCCCCCCGGCGGCGCCTCCAGCGCCGCCCCTGGCGCGCTCCGCGCGCCAGGGAGGGGGGTCCAGCGCGGATCCAAGAAAGCCGCGTGGAGCGCCCAAAGTTTATGTTTATGGCGTTCCTTCTCTTTCTAAGAGTGACCTGTGGTGCGGGCCCGATGGGGTCCCCCGATCGCCGAAGCCGAAGTGGTAGCAGCGGCTTGCGCGCCTGGGTTTGGCCGCCCCGCGATCCTTGAAGCCGCGCTACCGAGGGTCATTTTATAAGCCCAGGATCACTCTTGCGTGTAGCCGAGTTGTGGTGGAGAAGAGTGGCGGCGTGGCCGAGGATGCGGCCGTCCCGGAGGCTCCCCGTGTCGCGGAGGGCGGCTGGCGGACGCCGCGGCGCCCTGTCATTGCGACGGCCGCCGCGGCTGAGTGGCGTAGTCCGCGGCGCTCAGCAGCAGCGATGGCGACAGGGGCAGCGCCAGCGACCTCGAGGCGGTCAACTAAAGTGGTGGTAGCAGGGCTAAAGTCGTGCTCGCCCCGTGCGTCGCCGCCTCGTGCGCGTCGACGACGACGACGACGAGGTGCTTCAGGAGGCCTTGGCAGTGACGATGGCGGAGCGTGCGCTGCTGCCCCAGGAGGGCGTGGACGGCGACATGGAGGAGGTCCACGACGTCGCGGACGACGGAGCGGCTGAGGGCCACGGTGTCGTGGACGCCGCGGGCGAGGAGGAGGTGTTCCTGCCTGTGGAGGCCTCTGGCTTCGCACCTGCGGCCAGGATGCGGGAGGTGCTCCACGGCCCTTGATGTGGAGGCCGCCCGTGTGGACCGGGAGGCGCGGCACGCCGAGGCGAGGGCGCGCGACCTTGGCCCCCAACGGAGGGTGGCGCTGGAGGCGGAGGCCCGGCAGCGGGGTCGTCGCCGCAGAGGTCCGCCGACCTGCCCAGCAGCGGGAGGAGAAGGCGGCGGGCGCCGGGGCGGGGCGGCGTTGGTCGGCCCTCGCCGCGCGCCGTCGGCGGAGCACAGGGGAGATCTGCCGCGGGAGCCTGAGCTGGCCGCTCGTTGCGGTCGCGTGGGCAGCACGCACAACCAGTTTCAGACTCATTGATATTCAGATTCGCTCACGCGTGCCATTCACACATGCGCGCTCATACTCAGCTTCGTCGTGCCCAGACTCACTCGTACACAAACTCGCTGAGACTCAGACCCGTCACGCGCACATATTGACTCGCACTCACAGCCGCATCGTCGTTTCATGAGTCGATCCTGCTCGCACCACGCACACACACATAGCCAGTCACGCTGGAACTCACTCACGCTCAGACCACCTCACACCTGGCGTGGTTGGCGAGGCGTTTGAGGACCCGCAGGAGGAGCCGCCAGGGGGTAATTCGGATGTTTGCCCGTTTGCGCACATACTGTGGGGATGTCTCAGGCGGTTTCACTGGTTGGTGGCCCAGGCCCCTTTGCTTTGACAGCCTCATGCTCATCGCGATAAGGCAGGCGTGGCATTTGAGCAACCCGAGGAGTAACCGCCAGGAGGTATGACACTTGCCCGTTCGTGCACGTATTGGTGGGATGTCTGAGACGGCTTGGCTCCTTGGTGGCCCAGACCCACCTTTTTTGGAGAGCTCCCCATGACTATCGCGATCTAGCAGGTGTGGCTTCGGGCGCTCCGAGGAGGAGCCGAAAAAAGGGGTGTGACGCCCGTCGACCGGTGGGCGCCCACCCACCGCGAAGGCGCCCGCCCGTTCGCGC